TGGTGGCAACTGCTGCCAAAACACCATCTCTGATGGCCAATCAGAAGACTTGAAGGGCAAAAGCCCCACCCAGCACCACCCACTTTCTAAAAATATTTGGTGGGCCCCAGGAAAGGTGAGGGCTGGTGCCCACTGGGGGTCCCTGATCTGCCTCGGCAGCCCTCTTCCCAAGAGAACCTTTTAACTGGGGATGGGTGCAAACTGGGAAAACGTGGTTTGGCTCATGGCATGCTCAGTTTGTGATAAACGGCAAGCCGTCACGAACTTTTAGGGGCCAAATGAATTGCTTTGGTTTGTGAGGCTCATGATGACCATCTTCAAGTACTTGAAAGGCTGTCCTATAAAGGATGGGACGGAGTTGTTTTTTGTTGCCCCAGAACCAACGGGTTGAAATTAAATCAGAAGAGTTTTTGGCTAAACATTAGGAAGAACTTCCTGACAGAGTTTTTTTCAGTGGGACAGGCTTCCTCGGGAGGCGGTGGGCTCTCCTCCTTCTTTGGAGGTTTTCGAACAGAGGCTAGATGGCCATCTGACGGCAATGCTGATTCTGTGAACTTTGGCGGATCATGAGAGGGAGGTCAGGAAGGGTTGCCTCAGTGCTTAATTCTTTTGGCCCTTTCTTACACGCCCAGGGAAATGCCGATCACCACTTTGGGGTCAGGATGCAATTTTTCTCCAGGCCAGTTTGGCCAGGGATCCTGGAGCGTTTTTTGTCATCTTCTCGGCATGGAGCAGGGTCACTAGATGTGGGGAGGGGGAGGTATTTGTGAATTTCCTGCATTGTGCAGGGGGTTGGACTAGATGACCCTGGAGGTCCCAACTCTATGATTCTTTGACCCAGTAGAACGCCCCCCCCCCCAACTCTATGATTCTATGACCCAGTAGAACACACCAAACTATCAGGGGCTCTCTGGCTGACTCTTCTCTACCTGCCCTTCAAGTTTGATGAGGACTGGATTTATGAGTTCCGAGGCACAGAACGAACCTGGTTCCTTCTGCGTGCAAAAGGAGGGCTCTACCATGGAGCTCCCTGGATCCCAATTTTTCTCATAAGGCTTGGGGAAAAAACAGGCCCACTCAAAACAATAATAATTGCAGCACATTGCCCTTTTGACCTCTAACATCAGCAGTCATCTAGAAGGGAAAAAACCCAGGAATTTCTACCAGTAATTGTTGGTTCTACTCCCGTTCCCCAGGTAGTGGCGCCACCTAGTGGGAAAGTCTCCTCTGCTTCTTTTCGGCTTAAAAAAAATATCTTCCCTGTGCTTGTGGGTGCACTTTTCTCAACTCAGACAGCAGCCAGACATCTAAATAGTCATGGCTTAAAACATACACATCTGTGCAATGGTGACATATTAAAGAAGGATTCTAATTTTATGCTGGGAAAAGTATGCATGAAAAATGTGTGTGTATAGGGCCCAGCTATACAGTGAAAGCCTCTTTAGTCTGTTTTGATCCCAATATGAACGTAATCAGGATGTTAACATCCTGAGTACCATGAGAGTTACCAACTCTGAGTTGGGAAATCCCTGGAGATTTGGGAGTGGAGCCTGGGGGAGGAATCGCAGTGGAGTATAATGCCAGAAAGTCCACCCTCCAAAGCATCCAGTTTCTCCAGGAGAACTCCTGGAGATCAGTCGTGATTCCAGAAGATCTCCATGCCACACCTGGAGGCTGGCAACCCTAAGTACTGCTGACTTAAGAACGTCTCTAGACCAACATTCTACGGCCAACAGCAGCAGGCCAAATACCACCAAGTTCACAAAAGACGGTTATCCCTTCTTTTGATCCCTAAGAACTGAGCATTCCGGGGTACAAAGCTGGGGTTTGTGGGGCATTGCAATGGGGGAACAATTTGGAGATCTTACCCCACTCCTCAAAAGATCCCACGCCCTGATTCTCTAAGCCTTTTAGGAGATTATTTGTCCTCCCACCCTATTTGTCTTTGAGTCTCAGATGCTCTCAACACCCTCCGCCTCCTGAAACACGCTCAGTCCCCATCAGCCAGACTTCCTCCCTGCTTTTGCTTAATTTACAAAAAAGAAGATCGGATTTATACCCCGCCCTTCACTACCCAAAGGAGTCTCAGAGTGGCTTACAAACTCCTGTCCCTTCACCTCCCCACAACAGACACCCTGTGAGGTCAATGGGGCTGAGAGAGCTCTGACAGAAACTGCTCTTTTTCAAGGACAGCTCTTGGTCAGAACTATGGCTTGCCCAAGGTCATCCAGCAGGTGCAAGTGGAGGAGTGGGGAATCAAACCCGGTTCTCCCAGATTAGAGTCCATGCACTTCACCACGACACCAAACTTGTGTAGTCATACCTTCCTGCCTTCCCCAAGTAGGCAATTTCTCCTGCTCCTTATGCAGCTTTTGTTTTCCAGAGGCCAGCCAGTTTACTATTGGAGACAGACTGCCTTTGAACATCAGCTATCACAGCTGGTTCTAATTAACAGACCCACCCTTCTCCTATGGACTCTACTAAAACTTTTTCAGAGCCATCTACATTAGCGACCATCACATCTTGTCAATTTTATTAAGTTAAATCATGTAAAGAATCATTTTCTTCTTGTGATAAATTAGCTGAGTATGCTGTAATGGCAAAGTTAACGAATCAGGTAAACAAAAGACCAATTAGAGAATTTCATCAGAAGTGGAAAGCATATCATATAGTGTTAAAGGCTAATAACTTAAAAGTCCATATTACCTAAAATAAAAAGTTGGCACCTCAAGAAATAATCAGTCATTATTAATGTAAAATATTATTTCTACTTTTTCATTAATGTAATATATCTATCTTACAAAAAAAATTAAAATAATATTAAGTAAGCAATATGTGGAATTGTCTTTCTAGAAAGTTATAAATACTACTCCAAAAATTGATATATCAAATTGTTTAAAAATTGGTATGCTTAAAAAAACCCCACATACTGATATTCTGAGAAATTTATGTAGTTGAGCGGAGAAAATATCCTGCTCTTGATCTATGTACAATATTATATATTAGAACTGAGTCCTCAACAAATGTAAAATGCAAACGTTTCTGATGATTAATGACTTTTTGATACCCTTTCCACCTTTTTTATTCTGTACCCGTCCAATTATATAATAAATAAAATATATATGAAAAAAAGAATCATTTTCCTGTTATCTAGAGAGCACCAGTTTGGTGTAGTGGTTAAGTGTGCGGACTCTAATCTGGGAGAACTTGGTTTGATTCCCCACTCCTCCACTTGCACCTGGCTGGGTGACCTTGGGTCAGTCACAAGCTCTGGCACAGCTGTCCTTGAAAAAGAGCAGTTTCTGCCAGAGTTCTCTCACCCCACCCACCTCACAGGGTGTCTGTTGTGGGGAGGGGAAGGGAGAGGAGTTTGCAAGCCGCTCTGAGACTCCAAGTGAAGGGTGGGGTATAAATCCAATCTCTTCTTCTTCTTCTTCTTATCTATGCTCAACTGACTGCTAACCGGTTTAGGTGAAGATGTTGCATGCACAAACACACCCTTAATAGGCAGCCAGTGACTCTCTGGACACGTGGCCTATAATTAGATGCAATAATTTTATTTCTTTAAAAATCTCTCCTGTAAAACCATTAAAAAACTCCATCATCAGTCGTGCATGCGGCTGATGACATACACAAGACAAACAATTTCCAGAAGCCAAACAAAAAGAGAGAGAGAAAAGACAAGTACATAATTTACAATAGTATCATAAAACCGGGCAGCCAGTAACCTTAACTGGCCATGGGAACGTGGCGTCCCATCATGAGGAAAGGACTCACTGGAAACCGCGTTCAGCTCATATGCCAAGACACACGAATTCCCCAATGATCAGGTGACTACCCTCAAATTCTGATATTCTGCCGGCTCTTCCAAGAGTCATTCCAGGTCTCTTGCATCTCCGGAGATACTAGTTTCTTTAAACGTCTCGTTTGCCTGTGGCGTTATCAAGGAAGTGCATGCCAGAACTTTGGGAACAGGCAGAAAACAGAGCATACATTTCCCACAAAGTTACAGGTTACTACAGGGAACCTCAGTTCCACGAATAACTTTAAAAAGCATGACAAACATATATAGGATTAATAGTAATCAAGGTCATTGTCTGAAACGGGAAGCTGTAAAGTAGCAGCAGCAGCAGCAGCAGCAGCAGCAAAAGGAAGATTTCTTGGATGTGTTAGTGTCAGCAAGGCGTTCACCCAGTTTCTCCAGGCTGCCCCCACCACAGTGCTCTCGGAGTACAGTACAGCCCAAGGTGATGCTAGCGAGACAAAGTCCTTCCCCATGTGTGACTATGCACAGGCCCAGGAGCTTGTTTAAATGTTGCCGCAACCTGTGCTGATCAACTATGCGTGCCTCAGCCCACATGTGAGCAATCCATCGCTCATGCAGATATATATTGCACTTTCATGCAAGCTCTGGGACCCTCGGAACTGGAGTGCGAGGATAAAGGAAAACAACAACAACAAAACAGAACTGGTCAACCTAAGTCCAGGCTATGCCATTTTCCATCACAGAAGGCCAGAACATTCCTTTAGACGTACACATTAAATCCCTTCACGTGGAAAAGTAGCCATTTGGGGTGCTGGCTGGGCAAGCACCCTTCTCCTGGATAGGCTAGCTTTCTACACGTTGGGGATTTCAACTGCACAGAGGAGCCTTTCCTGCATATAGAAAGCTAGCATGATCAAGAAGGGTTCTAAAGCCAAACTGTCTGCCTGAGACGCTGCCTCAGATGCAGGGATACCATCGCATGGAGGAATATTAAATCATTGGAGCCCCCACCCCTCCAGTTTGAAGCAGAATAGCCCAGTGAGTAGCAGGCCAGCCACTTCGAGTTAACGGCTGTGCATTAGTTAACAGAGCACCCTACTGACTTTGGAGTTACCACTGCTTCTTTGGCATCATGTCACGCCACCCCCCACCCCCTTCTCCACAACATAATTCTCTGCGTTTATTTCCTGGAACTCTTGCCCAATCCCCCCCACCCCACCGCAACTGACTCCAGCTATTTCTTGAAGAACTTCTTATTGAGGAGGAAGATCAAGAGGTTGACATTAATTCTGGCCTTGTCGAACATTTTCATGACAGCCACGCCCTCGTACTGGAGCTGGAGGAGGTACTAGGATGAGAAACAGAAACAAAGAAGGGATGGGGGGGGGTCTTAAAATGGCTGCTGGCCAAAATAGCTCAATGGAACCTCCGGTGTTCAGAGGCCGTATACCTGAACACCAGTTGTTGGGGAGGAGAGCAAAAAGCAAGGAATGACTGTTGCTTTCACAGCTGTGGAATTCTCAGAAGCATCTGGTTGGTCACCAGTGGGAACAGAAGAGGTGACACTAGATGGATCCTTGGTCTGATTCCAGCAGGGTTGCTCTTATGTTTTTACCCACAAATGAACCTTGATGTTCAGAGCTATTACATCAGGGGTCCCCAAACCTTTTGAGCCTGTGGCTACTGCTGGAATTTTGAGAGGGGGTGGTGAGTTCCATCCCAAAATGGCCACCACAGGGGGTGGAGCCGAACACAGTACCTCCTTTCCTCGCTTTGCAAAAGCAATGCAGAAGGGGAATAAAAAGGAAGAAAACCTAAAGGGGCAATGGAACCATAGGCCTGGGTGCTTACTAGTCCTCCTAATCCGCCAGAGGCAGCTGCTGCTATTGCATCCTTGGAGACCCGAAGAAGGAGGAGGAGGAGGAGATTGGATTTATACCCCGCCCTTCACTACCTGAAGGAGTCTCAGAGCGGCTCACAATCTCCTTTCCCTTCCCCTCCCCACAACAGACACCCTGTGAGGAAGGTGGGGCTGAGAGAGCTCTTTCAAGGACTGCTCTTGAGAGAACAGCTCTGAGAGAACTTGTGACTGACCCAAGGTCACACCAGCAGCTGCATGTGGAGAAGTGGGGAATCAAACCCAGTCCTCCCAGATTAGAGTCCACGCTCCTAACCACTACACCAAACTGGCATCCAATAACAAGCCTTCCCTTACAAAGACCCTGCCCACTTTTGAAAAAGCTTGGTGGGCACCATGTTGGGGAACCCTGTATTATATTTCCAAATAGCAGGTGCTATTTGGACAATTTGAGAGGGGGCTGTCGCTTTCATGTCTTACCCTTGGGTTTCTGGGAAGTATCCATTTGGTCACAGGATGCCAGACTAAATGGACTTCTGGTCAAAACCTGCAGGGCTCTTTTTAAAATTCCAGACATGGAAAAGGGCAAGGAGGAAATAACGACGCCAGCCCCTTACCTGGTAATGAAGCTGAAACTTCTCCATGTCGACCCCCATAAACTTTGCCTTCACTTGGAACTGGCCAGCTTCTCCGCAGGGAACGATGTCAAAAATGACGTTTTTGAGCCTGGAAAAAGAGTGCAAAAGTCGGTCACAAGAGGCCGGAAACCCACCTCCCTCCTGGAAGGGACGGAGAGCTCAGAGGAAGCCGGGACCCCCAAGCTTTGATTCAGCCGTCCGTCAGGATGGGCAGCCCTGAGCCAGGCAAACCAATGGCACGCTTTCCCCCAAGGCAGCTTCCTACATGGGCAACAATATTGTTTATGCTGTCTGCCCTTCACCAATCCCTCCAGAAAGTCCAGTGAGGCAAGTTAAAATGAAAGAGCTAGCTGTGGGTACGGAACCAGCAGCCCCAGGCCGCGGATGGCAAGCGGATATGGCTTACTCCAATGTGGCCTGCACAAGGAAGACGGAGTACTGATTCTCAAGGGGCGTGGCTGAGCATTGGTTTACAGCCGTGGCTCCCAACCTTTGCACTATGGTGACCCACAAGTCCAAATTGACTTGGTATCGTGACCTATCCAAGGCCTAGGCAAACTATGACCTTGGCGCCCATCCGGATCAACCTTCCGTTATCTACAATGGCTAACCAGGTGTTTTTGAGAAACCAACAAGTATCGCCCAAAAGGCACGGCTATCCCCAAAAGGCACGGCCAATGCTCCCTCCAAGCTGTGGAGTCTTGTGAGCAAAAATTCTACTTTGTCAGCTACAGGCACTAAAGTTGTGAGCAAGCGATTTGGCTCCTGCATAAATTAGTTTGCTCTGGAGCCCTCCTTCCTGAGCTCAGATGAAACTGTGAGCCGGAGGCTAAAAAACCGTGAGCTAGCTCACACTAACTCAGCTTACAGGGAACACTGCCATGAACCCCAAGCAAATGGCATTCCGACATATGCAGCCTTTGCGCATGGAGGTTACGTTCCACCCTACGACCACCCTCTCCTTCTCCATTACTCCCTCTCATCCCCCCCTAAGATTCTAGCAAACTCACTCTACTAACTCTCAGGACATGTTTTACTTGGTCCACGTGTCTATGGAGTGAAGAAAAAATACCAACTAATGTATGAAATGGAAGATGCTGTTTACAGGGGGTCAGATCTCAGTTTCTGAGATACAAAAGAGAGCAATGGAAAGGGCAGGGAAAGCCATCAGGGAGGGATGGCCGGCTGCAACCCGCTTCGTGACCCACTTTTGAGTCCCAACCTCCAGGCTGGGAAACACTGGTCTATAGGAACCCACTGGCTGGGGAACTGCGCTGGACCTCGAGGGAGGAATTCAGCCATCAGCCCAACAGATTTGGAAAGTGACGTGAGAACTTACTGGCTGGCCGGGAGGTCTTCAATCTCCAGCAAAACACCCTTTTCAAAGAGGCGAGCCGCGGTGTAATGGAGTGTCGCTTGCTTCTTGCTAGGCCTGGGAAGGAGTGAGAAGACAGGCCTCAGACTCAGAGCACCATGGGAAGGCCAGACTTGGGGGGGGGGGTCCTTCCCTCAGTGCCCAGGTAAGCTTGCTGACTCCTCATGGGCTCTCTCTTTAATCAAGACTCCTCCCCCTCCCCTCCTTCAGAGGGTGTCTGGAGGATGCCGCCTCATTTGGAATACCGAGTGCAGTGCCGGTCACCGTATCTCGAAAAAGACATTGCAGAGCGTGGCGAGAATTTTAAAACTAGAGTCTCTTGCCCTTATTCAGGGTTCGAAACTTTTGGTGCCGGCCCTCCTTGCCAAGGGTGAAATGGTGTGAGAAAAGGAAGACAGAACGACCAACAGATAGTTCCAAGACACAGGCACACGCTGGCTGTCAACAACAAGGTTTCTTTCAGAGCTGTAAGAAGCGCAGAGGAGGGGCAACCAAGATAATTTGGGGGGGGCGGAGCACCTTCCCTGTGAGGAAAGGCTGACGAGTCTGGGGACTTTTCAGTTTAGGGGGGAACATCAAAGAGGTTTATGAAATTATGCCTGGGGTGGAGAGAGTATATGAATGAATGAATGAATGAATGAATGAATGAATGAATGAATGAATGAATGAATGAATGAATGAATGAATGAATGAATGAATGAATGAATGAATGAATGAATGAATGAATGAATGAATGAATGAATGAATGAATGAATGAATGAATGAATGAATGAATGAATGAATGAATGAATGAATGAATGAATGAATGAATGAATGAATTTTATTGTTACGGCACCCAGCCAGCAAAAGGGTGGAGAGAGTAGACAAAGAGAGTTTTTTCTCCCTCTCCCAAAATACTGGAACTCCCATGAAGCTGATGGGCAGTAGGCTCAGGATGGACAAAAGGAAATACGTTACACAAAGAGGAATTTCAGACAGACGATATAATCCGGAAGAAGAACGGTTCCCAAACGGTTTCTGGTCTGTCATTTCAGACAGAACCGTTTTAGAACCGGTTCCCTACCGGAATATATTTGTAATTTCACACACAAACGCTTCTGTCCTGTTTAGGAAACGGGGCTGAAGCGTTTTACCTGTCAACTGCTTCCAAGTAGTCTTCAGTTTCCTCTCCCGGTTCTGATGCACTTTTTCCCACCGTTTTTCGCCCACGTGGGCGATCTCCAGCTTTTTTTTTTTTT